TTTGTATCTTTCAAGAAATTTGACTATTTTATCTAAGTTGTTGAAATTGTTGGCATAAAACTGTTTATAATATTCCCTTATTATACTTTTAACATCTGTAATATCTGTTACTAGGTAACTTCCCACATTCCTGATGTTTGTAGTGTTTTCTTTTTTCTCTTCCAATCAGTCTGGATAGAGATTCTTTTTGCTTTTTTTTTTTTTAAGTCTTGTCAAGGAACCAGCTTTTGGTTTTATAGAGTTTCTCTGTTGTTTTTCTGTTTTCTATTACATTGATTTCTACTAATATATCTATTATTTTCTTTCTTATAATTACTTTGTATTTTATTTGCTCTACTTTTTCTGGTTTCTGAAGGTGAAAACTGAGGTCATAAGTTTTGAGATCTTCCCTCTTTTCTAATATAGGCTTTTACTGTGGTTAATTTTCCCCATAAGTATTTCTCAAGTGGTATCCACAAATTTTGTTATTTTATATTTTCTTTATCTTACAGTACAGAATACTTTCTAATTTCCCTTTTGCTTTCTCCTTTGACCCATGGCATATTCAGAGGAGTGTTATTTAGTTTGCAAATATTTGGGGATTTTCCAGATATCTTTCCATTATTTATTTTTCTAAATAGTAATTGCATTATGACAGAGAACATACTTTGTATGACTGGAATATTTAAAATTTGTTGGGACTTGTTTTATGATTCAGAATATGGTCTATCTTGGTAAATGTTACATATGCACTTTAAAAGAATGTATACTCTTTTGTTGGGTAGAGTTCTATAAATGTCAGTTAGGTAAAACTAGTGGATAATGTTATTCAACTCTTCAATTTCCTTACTGATATTTTTGTCTACCTGTTTTACCAATTATTGAGATGTAAGTGTTGAAATCTCCAATTATAATTGTAGTTTTGTTCGTTTTTCCCTGCAGTCTTTTTTTTTTGCTTCATTTGTTGTGAAGCTCTGTTATGTGCATAAATACTTAGGACTGTCATGTGTTCTTGATGAACTAACCCCTTTATCATTGTGAAATACCATCTTTATTTCTTCTCTTAAAATCTGTTGTGTCTGGCATTAATATAACCACTCCAGCTTTTTTTTTTTTTTAATTTTATTTTTTTATGTTAGTCACCATACAATACATCATTGGTTTTTGATGTGGTGATCCACGATCCATTGTTTTCATATAACACCCAGTGCTCCATGCAGTACGTGCCCTCCTT